TGGGACATGAAAACAACCATATGCTAATTTGTAGTCAGTCATGGATGATTATGAATAAGCAAAATACATGAATGACCCATGAACAATTAAAGTATGGCACACATTCCTCTTACTTTTGTAATCATCTTATAATAAACACTCAAGCACAAGAAAGTTATCACCATGAAAAAGAAGCAACAAAAAGAAATTGCTAAAAAAAAAAAAAAAAAAAAGTCTCCTGTGTATGTATTTGGGAAGCTTTCAGTTTACCCTGAATAAAACAAACAGTGTGTTACAATGGAAAGGAAATTTAAAAACCATACCCACACCCTATAAATAAACACCATAAGCAAAATCTATTTAGCATGTTATCAACACTGACCATACTGATTTGATATACTATCTTTTTTGAGCAGCCAAGCAGTTTAAAGAAAAAAAAAATCCTACAAACCTTTGTTGTAAACAAATTTAACAATGTTAATTGTGTATGTAAAATCTACAAGAAAGACTCTCTAATCATTATTTTAGGATTGTGGTATTACTGTCAAAAAAAAAATACAGAATCTCTAGTAGACTATACAGCATGTCTAGTACTGAATCTATAAAATGTGAGATTCTTGAGTTATGTGTGCTACAAAGGAGCTTTATATAGCTTTATATAGCTTTTTGCAGTATAGGAATATTGAAAGTTGATTGGCACTGCCTTTTTTTTTTTTTAGGCGTGATGCAAACCATAACTTGTTAATGTTAATACAAGAAAGAGTTTTGCTCTTAATTCTTGTTATAAAAACTCACTATTTAAAAAATCTTAGGAAAGAAAAATAGCACTGTATAATAAGGCCTATATAAGCATTACAAGACTATTTCTTGTAATGAAATATATGCAAAGGTGTCCTTCATAGTGAATTTGTAACTATGAAAAACCGTATTGCACACATTCTTAAAAATCAAGAATGTTTTCAGCAGTAGCTAAATGTCAATTTCAAAGAGGAAGGCATAAAACAGTATTTTCAAAAGAAAAGGGAGCATCATTGGGCTGCTGGAGTCAGTAACTAATATAAAAGCGGSACTTTGCAGTTAAAAGAGGAAACAACATGATTAAATGAGGTCTTGAGGTACTTACCCATCCATGTTTATCTTTAATTTGTTACCATATAATGTACTGTATGAAACAAATGCTTTGAGGGTCAAATTTTCTAAGCGGTTCCGATTACCTAAACAAAAAGGGCCAAAAGCCTCCTAGAGGATGCTGAGCTCCAGAATCAACTAAATAAGAAATTACAACTTTGACAATATCACACCAACATCACAAACTGTAAGAAAGGAAGCTGAATCCCAAGGTCAAAGCTTTCGGGATTTTCTTTTTTCAGAATGAGGGTTCCGAAGCTGGCGGTGTGGACAAATTCACTAGTCCGAAAAAGAAWGAAAAGAAGAACTTAAAGCACGTTCGCTGGTCCGGTGACTTCTCTAACTACAGGGTCGATTCAAGGCTCGACGGCAGCCCTCCCCAGGAGTCCCACGGTGGACAGGATTCCTCGAGCAGGAGGACTGTCAGCTTAGCCACAGGTGTCAGAGGTAACAGCAAGAATCCAAGACCGCGGCGCAGTCACCGGGAGGCTCAGGGCGGTAAGCGCGGCGTCGGAGTCCCTCACCTACGGGTTCAGGGGGGTCGGGTGTCCCTAGAGTACTCACCTACCGAGGCCGAGGCGCCGTGGGAAGCCGTCCACCGCGGGCGGAAGGCAAGTGCCGAGCAGAGCTCCGGGCAGCGAGGAAGAAGGGCCAGCGCAGCCCCCACCGCCCGCTCTCGCTCCCGGCCCGGCACGGCCAGGTTCAACCGTCACCACCCACCGATGCCACTTTTCGCCGAGAGTTTGAAGGCAAACCCTCCAGGGCCACTTCCGGTGCGGAGGCCAGCCTCAGCGACTCGGCGCACGCGGGGCGACGCCCCGGGAGCGAGGACGCCGGGCGGCGTGCGCGCGTCGGGCGGTACCGGAGGGGGCGTGGCTGGGCGCTGGGGCGCGCCTGCGCAGTCACGCACTGGCGCCTCGCGGCGGGTACCGCAGAAAGTAGGCATGGTAAAGACCTGAACTAGTTTATCTCAGCTACCTCGGTGTCGTTTTCGAAATCTTGCTCGCTTTTCTTCCCATTTGACTTTCAGATTACTCAGGGGTTAGGAAGTCAAAGTGACTGTCTTACAAGTGAGTGTCAAGGGTCAAGAGGTTCGTTTATGACAAATCCTGTTTTAGAACCTGGTAGTCAGAATGGGTCGGCTGGGGCCAGTGTCACGACATAATAGAAATAAAATTGGAGGAGTAAAGAAAGAGACTCAGGCATGCTGCTCATGGAATTTTATTTTCTTGATTTTTGGTGGGGGGTTCATTTTAAACTAACCAAACAACAAATAAAATGTTTCACAATTCACAGGTAAGTAAGGGAATTGTGGCTGCTTCCTCCAATTATTGGCTGCTTCCTCCAAGTCTCATCTCCATCCTTTACCTCCTCCTGGAGTGGAAATAGAGGCACTGAAAAAGACGCGTCTTTCCTTAGGAGTCCATGGTAATTGATTTTTTAATAGTAACACATCCCAGACGGTTAAAATAGGCTCACATAAAAGCAAGTCAGGGGAAATACATACACATTCAGTCTACAAATACTTACTGAGCATCTACTGAATGCCAGTGTTTGGCACTGAGAATACATGGGCTATGAAACAGAATGAATCATAGGGCTTTAAGTCTTGAAAAATACTCACCTAAACCGGTTGCGGGCGTGCACGCCTGTAAACCCAGAAACTGGGTGAGCTAGGAAGATCGCAAATTCAAGGCCAGCCTGGGCAACTTAGACTCTGTCTCCAAAAGACGAGGAAGGGGATTATTCCTCAGTGGTAGGAGCGCCCATGTCTTTTTGGATTCAAAAATCGGTCTGAGGGGGCTGGGGATGTGGCTCAAGCGGTAGCGCACTCGCCTGGCATGCGTGCG